TGGATACCAAGAAAGAAAGGGAGTACTGGAAAGGGTGAGTGTGTGTTCACATGTATCAAGTTTCAATTGAAGAGAAGATTGAGAGAGATTGAGAGATGAAGAACATCTCCTTGTTATCAATGAGGGTTGGTTGAGTTGGTAAGGATCGTTGTCTTCGCTATCCAAGTTTAAGTTTGAGTCCTAATGCCAACAATCCCTCTTGATGGGCAATTTATAAAAACCAAAAAAAGAAGCTCCCCCTATGTAAGTCCTCAAAGAAGGCTTGGTACGCCCTAGCCCTGGGATAGGTAGCCTCCCCTCCCTCCCCCTAAACTTTTTTTCATCGAAAAAAACATCTACTTGTTTTTTGATTGTTATCATTTTCTAGTATTAACTTGTTATATTATGTTATAAATATATTATTTATTGAGGCGGGCTCGAGCATGGGGATAACAATACCACTCAAGACCTGTTTTTGATCAGGAATTTTTATAATTCGGGGATCCCCATACCTGCCCCCAATTTCCCCCCGAAATTTCCTCATTAGAGTTAGAGACCAGATGAGAACCCGTCTCGGTGGAAATTTTTGCCACTCGACATCCGAATTCAAAAAGTGATTAGCTTAAATTATGCTATTAACCAATCATACAAATTTGATTACCAAGATTAATAGAAATAAAAATCAATGATGAAGACATGTCAACAGAAATGAATAGGATATTTAATTATTTCCTGCCTAGGAAAGCCAATAAGGAATCCAGCCATGTGGATATCATGACGAGGCCAACTATAAAACTTTATCCCACTTGTTATTAAGTGGGATAGAAAGATAGATTCCCACCATAATAATTCTTCCACTTTTTGTGATCATCCACCACAACTTATGACCTTCAAGACTCAAAACCACCCCCGCACCTACAAATAACAATTGAATTTTGCACTCTTGATTTGTTATTATTGTCTGCCAACAACTTCACTCCCTCATGAATATTATGTCATTCTCTGATAATGGAGTAGCAATGTATATTAAGTTTATACTTTCCTCACATGTATGTTAATTTTGAACATGGAGAGGCATACATTCTATAAACCGACGAAAAAGTGAGGAACGAGAGTCACACTAACTCATAATGAGTTGCAAAGAAATGCTCTAATACCATGTTAGACAACCACTAACCCAATAAACTTAAACTTGCGAAAAATGAGCTAGGAATTTATACCAAGTTTACAATGAGCTAGAATTTTTTTTTTTTAAAGGAAAAAAAAAACAGTTGTAGGTGTTGTGGTGTTGTTAATGTTTGTTGAAATTTGTGAACTACACAACAAGCATAGATTTATAATTTTTCTTCTCATCTTGTTTTCGAATCAAATCACCTTGATTGTAGTATTGTATGATTGATCATTGACAACGACAATGTCATGGACTTAATTTCATAATTTGTGCCAAAATCAACCGCATTTTTTCTTCCCCCGCTAGATTAGCACTAGAGGAGACAAAAACTTCCCACCATCTAGCTTCCATTTCAATAATGTCATCCACCTAATACATATAATTGTTCAAAGATTAGTCAAAAAGTTGTCCAAAACTTTGATTTAATACCAAGAAGTGGAAACCCCATTAAAGACTAATTAACAATGAAATGTGATTATGCTGATTTATCTGTTATTTTACAGTTTTTACTAGGGTTATGAAATTTGGTGGATTTTTCGGGCTAAAATTCGTGAGCATTTGAATTTTTTTTAACAAACTCAAACTTAACTCGTTGTTTTAAGCTTGATTTGTAAGACTAATATATAGTTTTTAATCTCCAAATTGAAGAACTTATAATTGAAAACTAATAAATCAACATTAATCTATTTGTTTTGTGTTTGTGTTTGTCGTTATTTAGTGATAATACTATGAAAATTCCGAATACAACCTCCAAAGATTAGATGAGCATGCCATGTTAATATTTTATCCAAGAATAATTGAAGGCATTATGTATTAATTTTTTTCTTCTTTTCACAAAGCGATATTAACCGAGGCACTACTCTAGCCAACTGACCTAACTCAACATTTACGAACAACTCATGTTAAATTTATTTATTTATTATTATAAAAGTGTTTTTATGACGATCAAAGACTTCTAACAACGTTTTTTTTTAACAAACTTAAATGTTTATTGATCATAAAAACTTTTTCTCGAGAATTTGCAAATTATAAACAAGAAAAACTGTTCAATGTGATCTAATTTTAATTGGGTCATTATTTTTGCACATGTAATAATCACAATGTTTTTTTTTTCTTCCATCTCTGAGAAAAAAAAAAAAGAAAAAAAGTGAAAGAAAAAAAACAACACGCGGAGATAATAGGAAAGGCAAAAATAAAGTCAAGAGCGACGCTGCCTCGATCTCTGTCCTTCTCTCTTTCTTTTTTCTTTTGGTCGCATAATAATCAGAGAGACGAGAGAAAGAGAGAAAGAGCGTAAAGGACCAATTTGACCTTCGTCCGCGGAGCTGCTTTTTCTTCTTCGTCTTTTCTCGCGTCTGCTAGTTTTTCCTGTACGGTCACCATGAACGAGAAGGCCAACGTTACCAAGGAGCTCAACGCCAAGCACAGAAAGGTTATTCTTTTTCTGCTTAAATTTGATAATTTGTCATTTATCGGCCCAGTATTTTCAAAATGAGAAAATTTTCACCAACCTGCATCTTTTTCGTACAAATTTCTTTGGATCCTTGACTGTCGATTTCGGAATTGGATTTCGGTCTTGGTTTATATCTCTCCCTTTTGTTTCTCTATTTGTTTGCTGAGAGAAATTGAGAGAAGTGAGAGGATTGTGGAATTTTTGTGAATGATTGGAGTTCCGATTGGCTTTAATTAGATTTGTATATTTCAATGTGGATTTATGCAAATGAAATGTGATTATTCAAGTGTTGGATTTGGTGAGATTTGATCTAGAGCTCTGGGCCATGATTGGTTTTATTTGAATTTGTATCGATTCCGATGATAGCTTTTGTTGGTGCTACATATTTTACACTTCTTTTGTGAATGTGTGTGAAATCTGTATTTTGGGTATTTGTTTTTTTATCTTTTAATTTTTTTTGGGGCGTTTGGTCTAGTTTTAGATGATGAAATACGGAAATGGATGCGTAATAATGTAGTGATGGAATGGTGTTTAGTTTAAACCATGCTTAACAGTTATCTATAATTATCAGAGTATGTGATTATTAATTAATACCCGTTTGTTTTTATCGGTCATGTTAAGTGTTTTCTTCAAATTTATAATCTGAGAAGCTTGGAGAAGTTAGTCTTGAAGAGGATCCTTTCAAGGCATCTATTGTCCTTTCTGTTTATGTGTGATTTTAAGATCATTTTCTGCTTTTAGTTTGTGAACTATGAAAATCCAATGGCCTTATTGGCATTCCATGTACGCGGTTTAAGGTCTGATTGTGATCCTACTGAATGTTAATTACCCTGCTGTATTTGTGCTACAAGTTATTGATATCTCTTTAAATAGTTACACTTTCTTTATATCATTTCCACAATTATAGTGGCCTCCAAGTTCAAGGTTCCTGAATCAGTATCTTGTATTTGCCTTTGTCCCTCTTTGATTATATTTAGAGGTTACATTCTTTATATTTTTTACTTTTTTTTTCTTTAAACATATGCAGATACTGGAAGGGCTTCTTAAATTGCCAGAGAATAGGGAATGTGCTGACTGCAAAGCTAAGTACGTATCAGGAGGAATCCAAAAGAGATGATGTGCATATCATGATAGTGAACAACCAATTATAGAGAATGAAAATTGATTGAAGTTTTAACAGCTGTGAATTTAGGTGAACACTTATGAGTTTTGAATAATGATTTGATTTCTTTGCAGGGGTCCAAGATGGGCTAGCGTGAATTTAGGTATCTTTGTGTGCATGCAGTGTTCTGGGATCCACAGAAGTCTTGGGGTACACATATCGAAGGTGACGTTTTAATATTTTATGTGGCTTATTTGCAGTAATATTTTCTGAACTGAAGATTAGGTCTATTTAGATTTCTCTTGGTTTCTCTTTGAATGCTTTTTGACAGTAATATTAAGGTTCAGTAAATTACAATGAAGGGTAGACCCACAAAGCATTAGCTCTTGGTTTCTTGAAGATATCCTGAAATTCTATATCACTAACTGCCCCTTGGTGGTGGCCAACAGCACCATAGTGTCTTTCCATGCCTTGCCTAACAACTAATCCTGTTCTAACTAGCATTCTTTAGGCTATTACAGGTCAGAACAGTTTATAGGCCCTCAAAAAAAGGAAAAAAAGTCTAATGGCTCTCTCTCTCTCTCTCTCTATGAATGATCTTATGGTTTTTTTTATATTCAAAAATAACCTACCATCTCCTTTATTCAATGGAGACAATTATATAGGTTTCCATACCTCATATATTCTTTTTATTTTATTTTATTTAGCATCATATGCAGCCATAGGAATGTGGCTACCTCATGTTCATCTACATTTTCATTTCCTGGAGACTTATATAACTTTTTATTTCCCTTCTAATTTTTAACTGCTTCATTCCCCACTTACAAATTAGTAGCTACAAGAACACTGTTATCCATGCGGTTGCAATGGGCTGATCTGAGTATTATTGGATTTTTCTGCAGGTGCGATCTGCTACTTTGGACACATGGCTTCCAGAGCAGGTTGCTTTTATTCAATGTAAGCTTGTCTTTGGGCTGCTAGCTTAGTTTTTCTTTTGATTGATGTTGATTTTCTTATGATTTTGGCAACATGTTATGATTTCATACAGCAATGGGAAATGAGAAGGCAAATAGTTACTGGGAAGCAGAGCTACCTCCAAACTATGACAGAGTTGGAATTGAGAATTTTATTCGTGCAAAGTGCGTGTCTGACGGTATCCCTAAGACCTAGCACCTATTTTTCGAGATTCAGTTACCGTCTATCATCAGTCTTTGTATGTTGATTTCTGCTTCTGGTAATTATTGGATATTCTCTTCAGGTATGAAGATAAGAGATGGGTTTCTAGGGACGGACAACCAAAACCACCTTCTAGAGGATGGGAAGAAAAAACTTCCACACATTGGCAGAGACCTGGAGAAAGAAGTGGGCATGGGTATGTAGGAAATTCTGAAAAAACTTTTGAGGAAAGGAAGAACATTCAATCAGCTAGTACACAACAAAGTGTTCCTGCTGCAAGAATCAGTCTTCCTGTTCCTCCAAAAGGTCCTGAACAGGTATGTCATACGGTGTTTCCCTGTTAACCTCTGTTTTTTTTTCGGTTTCTTTATTTTCGTTTTTGCATCATAGATGACTTGTGGTTGTTATCAAACTCTGCTTGTTACTTGTTTATATGTCAGATTTACTGATAGTTCATTTGTATGAACTAGATTTTCTAAGAGGGTGTGACACTGTGATACCCTGTTTTCTACTGAAATCATCTTCCTTCTAAAGAATCTTTTGGAACCAACTTATGTTATATGTTGGACATTAATGCATTAGCAATTCAGCATAATGTTGTTTGCAGACACAAAGCATACTAAAATCAAGTATCAATGATGTCGTAGCAATATTGAAATGTCTTTGGCATTCGGTCATCTAGAGTGTGAATATGGTCTACATGTCAATTGGTGGGACACTAAAGTAGTAATTCGAGGTTGAAGTAGGTGTCCTAGAGAGACATTTCTCAGGGTCTTGTTGAGTTCTCTTTTAACTTTCGTTTCAGTTTGGGTAACGGGGAGAAAATCTGTTATCGGGAGGATTTATGGTATGGGGAGTCCTCTTTTTAGATCACTTTCTCCTGAGTTTACTGGCTTCCCTTGTGTCATAATGCTTCAATAGCTAGTTTGCATGTTGCCTCTTCTTCATATTTTGTGGTGGAACTTCAATTTCTATTGGAATATGAGAGATCATGTGTGGAGATTTCTGCTCTTTTCTTTCTGATTGAAAACATTTCTCTTTCCCCTTCGAGAATAGACAGGAAGGATTGGCTCCTTGAGTCATCGGGCACCTTTTCGTGTAAATCTCTTTTCTGCAGTTTTTTTTATTTTTTTTTTATTTTTTATTTTATTTTATTTTTTTTATGATCACTTGTGTCCTCACTTTTATTCACATCCTTAATTATATGGAAGGCGAACATGCTTCCAATGCAAATTGCTTGTTTTTCCATCATTGGTGCACTATGTGCAAAGGAGTAGCTGACAGTATCAACCGCCTTTTCCTTTTTTGTGCGATGTTGAAATTCTGGTATAAAGCTTTTCCAGAGGGTTAGATTGAGTTGGGTGGTGCCATTGTTGTGATTTTTTACTTGATGAGAGGTTTTGTGCCTTTGGAGGTTGGGTGAAAGGTGTTGTGGAGGTGTAGTGTGCTAGAAATTTTTTGGGAGGCTTGGTCTGAAAGAAAGTTTTCCGGACAAGGCTGAATTCTGGGCCTCACTCTGCATTTAATGTCTTCTGAATTCCGAAATTCTGGTATAAAGCTTTTCCAGAGGGTTAGATTGAGTTGGGTGGTGCCATCGTTGTGATTTTTTACTTGTTTAGAGGTTTTGTGCCTTTGGAGGTTGGGTGAAAGGTGTTGTGGAGGTGTAGTGTGCTAGAAATTTTTTGGGAGGCTTTGTCTGAAAGAAAGTTTTCCGGACAAGGCTAAATTCTGGGCCTCACTCTGCATTTAATGTCTTCTGAATTCCGAAAATGTCCTTTCTTCATTCTAAACTTGGAATGGGAAGCTGCTCTCTCTTCGGGCAACATGTTTTACTTGGCTTCTTTTCATTGCGCGTTGCTTTCCTTGTTTCTGCCTAAAAGTGTATCTGCTGGTTTATTTTGTCTCTGTTGATTCTCTCTAAATGTATTTCGCATCCTGTAAAAATCAAATTGCATACTTAAGTTTGATTTTTTTGGCTCATTTCATATTTTATTGCGGTTGCTCCATTTGTTTCTATAATCCTCACTGCCTCTTTTTTTTTTTTGGTTTCCATACCCTCCTTCATTACCTCGTTCATTTAAGAAATTGTAGTAGACCTTCTAAAAGTTTTGATGCATTGTTTATCTATATGTCGACAGGTTGTACATGTCCCAAGACCGCAAGATGTTCAGAAAATAGAACCAGCAGTTCCGCCAGGTGCAGCAACAAAGCAAGTTGTTGACACTGCTCCTCCTGCCCCTCCAAAAGTTGATTATGCTATTGACCTTTTCAACATGCTTTCAGTGGATGATGGTCCAAGTGAGAATGGTTCAGATGCAGCATCTGCTGAAGATAATGATTGGGCAGGTTTTCAGTGTACGTCTTTATTCCCCTCCCCATCACTCTGAGTGTTTTACTTTACTGGGATCCTGCTATCTGTTTGGTTCAGGCTTTTGCCATTCTGTCGAGGTTAAGAAATATGGTTGCGTTTAATCTGCAGCTGCTGAAAAGGCATCGACAGCTGCTGAAAAGGTAGCAACAGCTGAGAAAACTGCTCCATCGAGTGAAGCAGGGAGCCATAGTAAATCTTCATCAGGAATTGAGGATCTATTTAAAGATGTACCTTCACTGACACCTGTTTCAGAGAAACCCCCGAAAGACTTAAAAAATGATATTATGAGTCTTTTTGAAAAGGTATGTGCTTCATTATGACATTGACGTCCAATCAGAATTTGTTTGAAAAACATTTTATGAGTTTGATAATGTGATAATAAATTTCTTTTTGCTAGTTGGAAAAAGTGGTTCTCAAGTTGCTCCATTATTCAAGTTTGATTTGTTTAATTAAAAATCAAGTCCAGTAAACTTTAAAAAACCTACTTTGGTTTTAAGTGAATTGAATTATCATCTTCTTGTTCTATTGCATAACATGGTATGTAGATGCAATTGTTTAATTAAAAATCAAGCCTTAGAAATCAAGTCCAGTCAACTTTAAAAAACCTACTTTGGTTTTAAGTGAATTGAATTATCATCTTCTTGTTCTATTGCATAACATGGTATGTAGATGCATGTTATATTATGAAACGATTTGAATATTTGCAGTCCAGCATGGTGTCACCCTTCGCTATGCATCAGCAGCAACTTGCAATGCTGGCTCAGCAGCAGTCTCTTCTCATGGCTGCTGCAGCTAAATCTGCTGGCATGGATCAAAAGTTTCCTGGTATTATTCAACAACCTGTGTCCAATGGAAGCAATTTACCCTCCCAAAGTTGGCCAAATGTTGGCTACCAAATTCCGGGATTGATGATGCCTGTAGATGGACAGGCTGACCTACAGAAAGTTACACAGGTAGGGTCAGTAAGGCTTAATTATGTAATTTTGTTTCATTTATTTGCATCTATTGAATTTCTCATTTTGTTATGTTTCTTTTTTGGGTCAGAGTCAGACAAAGATCATGGGACCGGCACATCCCCCGGGGAGCTCTGTTCCATATTCAACTTCTAGGTATGTCATAAATCTCTGCCTGCCCTAGTTTGTGTTGCCACGTATGTGATGGGATTTTCGGATATGTTATTAAGGCATTTTTTAATATAATTTGAAATGGCTAAGCAAACGAAAAAAGATCCTAAGCAAATTGAGCCTGTGATGAAGATCCTAAGCAAAAAGGTCCTAATAACTTGGATTGCTGCTATTCTGCAATGGGCGCCTCTCTAACTTAATTGGTTAGTCGTTGACTGCCATGCCGCCCTCCAACCCCCAAAATACCCAGCAGCCACAAATAAAATAAAGGGGAGAATACAATGTGAGCACTGCAATTTTATGCACTTAAATTGTTATTCAGGTTAGCCCATAGCAAGAGATCAAAATCTCAAGCAATTGCCCTGAGTTTTTCTCAATTTCCGTTGTGAATCTGGGAGCTGTACCTTTTCTGTGGGGAACATAGTACATGCATTTCTTTGCGAACACTGTCCTACAATATTTGGCTTCAATTATTATTATCCCTATTGGACAAGCTTACACAGGAGACAGTGGAATGTGAAGCATCAAGTATCCATAACTTCATGATAATGCTAGTTTTGCTTCGTTAGCAGAATAATACATCCCTTACCTGGTTCCAGAGAAGGTTTTCAGAGTTTCTATTTGGATTCTATACCATAAACGTCAATGATTAAAACTTTTATCATTGTTATTTTCTTTGAATAGGGAATGGGTCGATAACCAATTGTTGATCTGTGCTTACATCATCATGCTACTGCTTCTCTTTTGCAGCTTTTATAATATGGCCCAAGTTAACCCAGTTAATGGTGCGAAAAACGATGGAGCGAATAAGACTCAATCTCTGCCTCCCGTATCATCAGCGACTTCTGCACAATCAGCAAAAGATTATGATTTCTCTTCTTTAACACAAGGGATGTTTGCAAAACAGTGAGGAGCCTTGGGGGTTGATAATCCTGGCCTTGTTATACCATACAAAAACAGTTGAATTACAGAAAATTTACCTATTTTTCCGTCCTCATTTCCACCTGTGCTGAGGTTGTAAACTATTTGTAGAGGCAGTACCACTTTTTAGCTTTTCTCTGGGTGATTACTTCATTTGTATGATTAGGTGCTATTTGAGTAATAAGATGGGTTTAGATTGATCAGAATGATTTCCTTTCCGCTTCAATTGTGTTATTTGGAAGAATGTTTTTACCTAAAAACACCTCAAGAACATTGCCTATATGCATGATCTTTGGAATCTCAGAATTATCACAAATCCTTTTGTTTCTTCTTTTCTTTTTAATTTTCAATTGTCATTTCTCTAACCGTCCGATAACAATGCCACGACAGCAAGATCTTCAGATATGAAATGTAGCACAGAACTAACCGTCCGATAACAATGCCACATCAGCAAGATCTTCAGATATGAAATGCAGCACAGAAAGAGGAGAGTGAAAAATCTCACACAGCTTAAATTCCTGGTCGAGGTTAACAAAACTATCAGCAAAGAAAGATGTCTCCATCACAATAATGCGCAGTACAGTTTGGGCATGCATGAATGACTGCTAGCGGTAGAGTTATGCGGATATCATGAGGGAGTCATATTTATTGACGGTTAATAGTCACTCATACGCAAATTTATGTGGATCTCATGAAGGAGCCCTCATATTTATCGAAGGCTAATAATCACCCATGCGCTAATGAACAGCTGTTACCGGCATAACTCATCTCTATAAACATGACTCATATTGCAATTTGAGTCTCTCTCTTGTGATTTTACTATAAAAGATTTGCATTTCCATTCTTTATTTTAAGTCCTTATCCTGTCTTTTTAGTATGAAAAAGAGCCACTCTGGCTCATCATTAATTCTTAGTACAAAGTCACTTTCATTAATTCCTGAGGTAACTTGCATAGGCTTCTCTTCTACAGTGTCCGATCGACAGACACTAGCCTTGCCAAAAAGGAGCAAGAAAAATCAAAACTCTTTTTCCCTGCCAAATGCCAATCAATCACCACAGCATTAGTGTACTTTTAATGATCTGATCGTAAAGCCAAGTGGTATACTTCTTGAAATTTCCACACCAAAGTTAGGCAAAACCTTTGGACTTGGAAAAAAAGACCAAATTGAAGACCTGCAAATGCAATGGTTGCAGCCTTGCAGTAGTTGTTCGATCGAACCGGATAACCCAACAGAAATGCTGCGCCGGTCGGTGGATGGCCAACACGTGTCACTCATCCAACAACTGGACGGTGGCATGATATGAATCAGAAGGTAGCACAAGGCCATAAGCTACAGCTGCTCCAAAGCCTCCAAAATATTTATCTTTGACTCACTTGTACCAACTAGAGTCTTAAGTATATTAGGTCATCACCGACCGCTAGGAAAGAACCACGTGTTGGCTGCAAGCATGGGCTCTAAGGTGCCCACTGAAGATGATGAGCTGAATGATATGCATAGATGCTCTCCATACTGGCTTGTTATCTTAATGATGATCTTAATAATTCTAACTTTTTCTTTATATTTTTTGTTGTGGAAATGGTGGTGTAAGCTCCTGGACCGTGCTGTGGGAATTTTGTTTCTGCTTCTGTGGGGCTTCAGCTGCTCCAAAGCCTCCAAAATCTTTATCTTTGACTCACTTGTACCAACTAGAGTCTATATTAGGTCATCACCGACCGCTAGGAAAGAACCACGTGTTGGCTGCAAGCATGGGCTCTAAGGTGCCCAGTGAAGAGTGTTGAAGTGATTGGAGAAGGCAAACATCGTCACGGAGAGATTTATTACCATCCACGTGTTGCAAGCTCAGTGGAACGTAATACCACATGTCAATTGCCACATGGTACTACCGTACTATTGTATAATTTCTCGTATGAGCCTCCTAATTAATCAAGGAGATTTATTTCCTTGATTAATTAGGGGATTTACTTTCCTATTTTATAGATTTATTTTCTTTGATTAATTAAGGGATTTACTTTCCTATTGTTATATAGTGTTCAAATCATTGTATAATTAGGAGATACTTTCCTAATCCTTTACTGGATCTAATTCCTTGTAAAGCACTCATGTAAACTCTTATATATACCTCCTTATGGAGAAGAATAAAAATAAGAACCTAAACAATATTCATATTTTAGCATGGTATCAGAGCCAGGTTTGAAATTGACGATCGAATAAGGCTAATGTAATAGTTGTAGGGGAGTTTTACGTTGATGATTAACGAAATAGTGTATTTGTGGCATGGATTTGCTACGATATATGTGAGTTTGCACTAGCCCTAGATTTCAGTGCTCGTGTATGTGGTTGGTGACCTGTGTCCGTACCCCGATCCCCATCAATTGGTATCAGAGCCAGGTTCAAGATCTGCTGTCTCGGGGAGGTTTTTGGATGGAGGGTCATGTTGACAACTACAACGACATGGAGGAAATTAGGAGGATGCTACGGCAACTTACGGAACGCATCGCTCGCATCGAAGCTCGAACCCAGATAGGTAAGAGTTCTGACGGGGAGGGATACGTGAACCCTTATCTGAACCAAGTAGCTCGCATCAACACTCTAAGCCGTGGGAGTCTCGACGGGGAGTACGAGGGAGATAGCCCTTTTCAGTATTGCGCTCCACTATGTGAGTCAAGTGAAGAGGGGCATGGTTATTCTCATTGTGTCTTTGAAGGTATAAATGGATTTGTTAATTTTGGTGCATTTTGTTGTTCATCAAAGTTATTAAATTTGGATTTACCTCCAATATTTGATCCTTGCAACTGTGAAAATTGCAATGAAAATTGTTTGGGTGTTCAAAGCAATTTTGATAAACAATTTATTGACCAGAACAGTGAAGAGATGGGAATTGAGAAAACTCTCGAAGATCTTATTGATTTTATGGGCATTAATATTTTCACTAGGAAGGTTGCCAAAAATTTGGTTGATTTTGTCAATCGGTTGAAGATTCTAGAGAGAAACATTTGCATTGTCAGAGGGAGTAAGAAGAAGCCAAGAATAACGAAATATTCCAAATATCTTTTTATTTGGAAAGGAAGGTTTCAATTGGATGCTAAAAGATCCAAAATTAATATGAAGCAATTGAAGATTCTATTCGGATTTTCCTCAATCAAAGGCTTGAATTCGAGGACAAATTCTTTCCAACCAGGGGAGTCTGATGCAGGAGCATAGGGGTGGATCAAGATAGATATTTACCATTTAATTAGTTATTTCATGATATATTGATATTTTCTTATTTAGGTAGTTTTAAGATATCTTTTATTATCTATGCGTAAATATTTTAAATTGACGATCGAATTGGTTCATTGTATTCATGTAGGGTCAAGGAGTGTAGCTGTAAAAAATCATCAAAATCAGAGTTGAAATAACCGTTAAATCGTGATTTTTCGTTTATAACCGTCGAAAAGTTTTGTCCTATTACTTAATCTCTGAATGTTTATTTTTTCCGATTTTTGGCGTATATGATCTCGAAGTGTAAACAAACAAATTTGACGGTTGGATCGTTGAAACTAGTTTCGTAGAATGCGTATGCCATCAAAACAATATATTCACTAACAATTAAGAGTTTATTTATACTTTCATTAAATATAACATAAGATTTTGTGGTATCCACTAGTGTAAATATTTTAAATTGACGATCGAATGCAGTCATTGTATTCATATAGGATTGAAGAGAAGTTTCTATGTTCTTAGCCGTGTTCACAGGGTTTCTGTGTCCTTTAGCTGTGTTCACAGGGTTTCTGTGTCCTTTAGCCGTGTTCACAGGGTTTCCGTGTCCTTAGCCGTGTTCACAGGGTTTCTGTGTCCTTTAGCCGTGTGCACAAGGTTTCTGTGTCCTTTAACCGAATTCACAGGGTTTCTGTGTTCTTAGCCGTGTTCACAGGGTTTCTGTGTTCTTAGCCGTGTTCACAGGGTTTCTGTGTTCTTTACATTCCTCATATCGAATTCCTCATACCCAAAATCACATTCCTCATATCGTATTCCTCGTACCCAAAATCACATCCCTCATATCATATTCCTCGTATTTCCAGTTTTAGATTCAGATCTTCATACCCGAATCCTCATATACTCTTATCCCGAAACCCTAAACTTATATTTTTTTATCTTATTCTTAAATCCTTCCGCTACCATGGATATCGTTTCCAAAACCACCAAATCCACTTTCTCATATTTCTCCCAAATCCAAATCCCTCAAATCTAAAGTCCTCAAATGCCTTATCTCAAATTTCTCATACTCAAATCAAATCCCTCAAATCTAAAGTCCTCAAATGCCTTATCTCAAATTTCTCATACTCAAATCAAATCCCCCAAATCTTATTCACATACCTCTCAAATCCAATTCCTACATCAAATTCATACATCAAATTCCTCAAATCAAATTCCTCCAATCAAAATCCCTCACATTCTAATATCACTTTTTACTTCTCTTATTGCAGACTCAAAACGACCGGTCGCCCGAAGCAAACGACCGGACGCCCGAAGCAAACGACCAGTCGCCAAAGACTCTGCCTGAATTGCATGGATTATCGACTTGTGTGCTACGGATTTCTTGACTCACTTACCAAGTTGGGCATTTGTGACGTATATGCACCAACTTGAGGAGGAGTGTTGAAGTGAGTCTCCTAATTAATCAAGGAGATTTATTTCCTTGATTAATTAGGGGATTTACTTTCCTATTTTTATATAGTTGTCAAATCATTGTATAATTAGGAGATACTTTCCTAATCCTTTACTGGATCTAATTCCTTGTAAAGCACTCATGTAAACTCTTATATATACCTCCTTATGGAGAAGAATAAAAATAAGAACCTAAACAATATTCATATTTTAGCAAAGAGGATGAGCTGAATGATATGCATAGATGCTATTCATACTGGCTTGTTATAGCATCCACAGTGGGAGGGTGTATTTTTGGGGGTGTAAAGCCGCTTTTACATCCCCTTTACACATCCGAGAGTTGTAAATGTGATTTTTGCTTTACTGGGGAAAATGTAAATCTAGAGATGTATAATTGATTTCTTTCACCTTTTTGTTGTAGGTCCCACTTTTGTTCACTTTTTCTCACATTTTCTCATATAGGTCCCACCTGCAAGAGATGTAAAAAAAGATGTATATGTGCATCTAAATTTGCATCTCATGGTGGTGATGCAAATTTACACTCGTTTACATCTCTCCATTGGGGGTGATTCCGATCACAAAGGGTGTTTCTGATCACAAAGGGTGTATATTTAACATACACCTGATTATACACCCTCCCACTGTGGATGCTCTTATCTTAATGATGATCTTAATAATTCTAACTTTTTCTTTATATTTTTTGTTGTGGAAATGGTGGTGTAAGCTCCTGGACCGTGCTGTGGGAATTTTGTTTCTGCTTCTGTGGGGCTTAATCAGAGGAATGGGACATTTTATAAAAAGCATCTCTCTGAATGCAGGACCATCAATGGCACCAAAAATGAATCAAGGGAATTTTATATAAATAAAAAAATTATGGAACTTATATAGGCTTCATGTAACTTTAACTTGGTCGGTTTAAATCATCTTAATTCGAATGTACAAGTCTCTGCCGGTTATGATTTTTGAATCAAAGACCCCATTCAACAAAGTAGAAATTAAATGTCACGAGATCACCCACAGGACCACAACTCTTAAATTCTCTGCTATCCTAATAGTCCCATCTTCATGATTTAAGGTATTGTCTAGCCATAAGCATATATCAAGCTGGTCGTACATAAACAACTCTAGAAGCTTATTTTCTCACCCTAGTTAAAAGTTCGTAGCCAACAATTAGGTTTATATGGGATTGATAGTGCTCTCTTGTGTCGCATAGTTTCAAGTATATAATGTTGACGGACTATCCGTCAACACCATTTGATTAAATAAAACCGTATGTTTAGGTCATATTAGTCTAATCGACAATCTAACAACATAACTTGCCAAAATTTATCCTAAACACGTATGTACGCATTCGCAATCATTTTGGATCTCCTATAACTAGTCTACTCCGTCTTATAGTTGTTAATGTCCTCTTGGTTCACATTTTCAATGAAGTTTGTTTGCAAAACAAACACATTTAAAGACTTTGGACATCAATCTCTCTGATCCTGACCCTTTAATTGACTTTGCTTGGCATTTCTTGGATGCATATTTCACGTAGCCCCCTTTGTAGGCATGTCAACTTGAAAACAACTTGATCAATTGTCTCATTAGGGGGTCTCAAGTCGCAGTCTTTGCCCGTTCCTGGTAGGAAATTAGTAGCATGCTTATGCCTGCTTATATTGACCAGTCATATTTTAGACTCATTTCGTCCACACATTGCGTAAAAAATTAACCAGCTCATGATTTGCTCTCTGACTTTTATAATTAGCAAATGCGAAAACAAAAATGAAGAAAATGACTTAACAGGTGGTGCTTATTGGTTGGTCGGTAGAACACATGACACTTATTATAAATTTTAATTCTAAATAACCAGCTTAGGGCATTTGGGTTTACTGACAAGATTCAAGAACATGGCATGGCCAACCCACAGACTTATTTATTACTATTTCCTTTTTATTTTTTTGGCTTTGGTAGCCCATATCACATGTTCATCGTTATCTTATTACTCGGTCGTTGACTCTGAATATTGTTTTTCATGTTCATACATGCTCTCTATGTAGAATATTAGAGTAATTTTGAAGTTGTCGCTTTGGCAATGTACGTACACTCAAGGGAGTAATTTTTTAGTGTGATCGTAAGACTGTCGTTTTGTGTTACTGATATACTCATGTTATAACACGTGTATATTTATTAAAACTTATTTCTCTCACTCATATTATACTCTATGAATAAGAATAACATCGCGTAACAAAAAAAAAACCATGAGCTCTCACATTAGATGCTACCACATTTGACATTCCCATTATTACTACAATGTCACTGAGCAAGTGAGCAACACTTAATTAGCTCCAAAACGTGGTCGGTTAATTAAGTATTGGTAGGTGCTAGACCATCCAATCCAACGGGCAATGGTTAATATGACTTCATAGTCCAATTCATTCATGTTCATAGCATAGCATACCCCATGTTAACGGTCACATAAAATATAGCCGTTGAGATGTGGTACCCTTTTAAATATTCAATTCTTCCTGACAGTTCTCATCTATCATCTGCTGCCTTCCCCCTCCAATATTAAAAGTTCGTTAACTAGTTCTCTAGGAAGATTATCAATGTTAATTAAGCAAGATTAAAAAAATTAATCGCCTTTCCGATTTACTTTTGCGTTTTTTTTCTTCTTCTTTTTAAATAATTTAATCAGAGCAAAAGCCCCACCTCCAGAATCATCTGGGCATTGCCACTTCGATGTGTTTTTTGTTAGGGAAAGGGAGGGCTCTTAATCCAAGAAATGCCCACCTTTTTTTTTTTTCTTTATTTATTTTTTGAGGGTCAATCCAAGCTGGAATAAAACATTTTCTGAAATTTTATACACAAATTGATAAAATAGGTTAATGTGAGATTACTAAAATGACACAACAGAAAAACTTTATCTTCATTGTTACAATGATGGTTTTTCCTCAGTTCTCAATATCTAAACCAGAAGAGTTTTATCTTTTTTTGTCGGTGTATAAGATAAAAACTCGTGACATGTAAGTTTTTCTCTTTCAACTCGAATAATATTACGTTGCTCGAATAAAATTGTGTTTAACGTATTTGTACGGAGTCTATAATCCAATAAATTCCTGTAAAAACATTTCATTGATATCCATCCCTATTCCATACGCCAAAAATCCCAATGCCACGTGGAGAAAATCCATTTACATGCTGACGCGTTACCTCTTATCCCCACCATTTTTTCTTCTTCAAAAACGGTCACACCACCTCTTCATCCGACGGCTCGCATTTCATCGCAATACCCGCTCCCTCTTCTCCTCTATATATAAGCTCCCTCCTCGCCATTTCACCCATTCACTAACTTTTCCACTTCTCACAGCTCTCAAATAAAACTCTCATCGGAAAAGTTAAGATTCCGACCAAGTCCCAAACTCAAACGCCGGAAAAATGTCGATGAGCTCGAGCAACACCTGGTTACTGTCTCTCAAGGTCGTTCTCATCTCCACCGGTTTGGTGTCCATGGCCGTGGCGCTAAAGCTCTCAGCTCCAGTGGTTTCGGACATCGTCGCCTCCCAAGTCCCTTCTCTCTGGAGCTCAGCGCTGTCCTGGCTCAGACCTCCCTACCTCTACATCCTCATCAACTGCATCATCATCAGCATCGTCGCCTCCTCCAAGCTCCATAGCGGCGGTGGACGGCGGCGATGAGGCCGTGCGGGTGTCGACGCCTGTGCGGACGCGTTTGCAGAGGAAAGACTCTATGGAGTTTTGGTTGAACGAGAACGAGAAACCTCCCGTTTCTTCTAGATTTGGTCATAGAAAATTCGCCAGAGCTAGCCCTGAAGGTACCCCTCTCTCTGCGTACGACATGTCGTATGATTATTCCTTCTAATCGTTATATTAAGTCCAAATTTTTTTAAAATTTTCGGATAGGAACAAGGAACTGAGAAAACCGACTGGTCGGAGCACCACCTGTATTTTTTATTTTTAAAATTTTCGTTATTGTCGTTCAAAATTCAAATTTGCTTGATAGTGCGAAAAGTCGAGATTGCCCTCGGCTTATGGGGGGCCAGCCAGGGGAGCAATTTTAAAAGACGAGGTCAAAATGGTAAATTAATAAGTGAAGTTTGTTGTTTTGTTTTGTGGGAAATGCAGGTGGGAAGTCGTTGGGAGTGGCGAAGCCGAAGCGGCAGGACACGCTTGAGAGCACGTGGAAGACGATAACGGAGGGGCGTTCGATGCCGTTAACTAGGCACCTGAAGAAGTCCGACACGTGGGACACGCATGTGCGGAGTGTGGACCAGAACACGCCTCCCAAGTCCAAGATGAACAAGTCCGAGACGTTCCAGGACCCAAGCAGCGCAACCGTTAACTCGCCGTCGCTGCTGAGTCCGTCGACCGGGTCGGGTCGGCTCAGGAAGGAACCGTCGCTGAGTCAGGACGATTTGAACCGCCGAGTGGAGGCGTTCATCAAGAAGTTCAACGAGGAGATGAGGCTGCAGAGGCAGGAGTCGTTGAATCAGTACCATGAGATGATTAGAAGTGGCGCCCGGGCTCCATTGGCTCATTAGTTTCAGTTTCAGTTATTTATCTCTTTTGTCCTTTTTTTCTGTTTTTGTTTATAATTTTAAACAAAGCAAACAGAGCATTCGGCGGGCAATAGGCAATTACCATATGTTAATTATTGGGTTGGTTTTTTTTTTTTTGGGGTAAAAATAAAACCTATAAAAGGGTGGTGAAAAAATACAGAGATAGTGCACCCAATTTTTGTTGGGTTACAAATGATGTTTATAGTGAGCTAACTAAAATTCTTGCTAATATTCAATATGTTCCGAGAAAAAGAGTTGAGGGGATGTTGTTTGGAATTTATGTTCATTGGGGAATTACAGATATCAGATCAAAAAATTGACTCCCTATACTAGATTTGTTTCGTTAATCAGTTCAAATTAGAGCGATTCACACCACGTGTATGTCGGTTCTAAGAACTCCTACGTACTTTATCTAATATGTGGTGTTTACGTGTTGAGAGTTTGATTCATGGATGTAAGAATGTGTGTCAACTGGTTCCAATATATAACCACATCAAAGCTATAAATTCTTCACCTCAGTTCGTTTAGTTCAACTAAAACCATTTCCCTTTCACCAACCAGACAACCAATTTCATAACGCAAGGCACAGAGAAGATGAGCAGGAAAGCTTTAGGATCATGTTAATTTCATATATAATTTGCAAGGGCGGTGAAGTGACCAAAACCTGGCTAACCGCAATAAATTCCAGCCGAAGTTTGGCCCTGCAGATATGGCCAAAAGCCTTGGGAAAATGTTTTTTTTTTCCTTTTCTGCTTCTGGATAAGCACTCAAGAAAAAAGTAAGCACTCAAGAAAAAAAAAGGTTGGAAATTTGGTTGCCTAGAAAATCATCCATTTTAAGACTGCAAGGCCTGTCGTCTACCTGAGTCCCTTGTCATTCTTGCAAGAGATCAGTCCAGACTCCAACTATAAGATCACATCACTCTGCAGCTCTAAACGATTGATTCATGGAGCTAAAGACATCTCCTTATTTATTTGGCTCTGGCAGTATCTCATATAGTGCCAATTGCCCTAAAGCCAATATCCACCGATCAGATGGGCTTGCATTATACTTTATTGCTAAAAATTTGGTATCGTAGGTCACGCACATTGAATCTGACCGTTGATTGATGTACTATGTGTTTCGCATGCACGTACGTATGTATTTTTCATGTTTAATACACTTGGTTTTTTACAAAAGTTTCAATAAAACACACAAAATTCACGTATTATACCCATAAATTTTGCATATTATTGAATAATAATAATAATATATATTAAAAAATTTAAATCTATAAAGTATATATATCGAAACTAGCAAGTTAATATATATAAAGTATAAACTAATACAATTAGAAGGGTCCTGTTCTTGTAATTTTTTTACACGTGAGCGACGAATCGCAAGTTGGACGCTAGTTGGGTCCTTCTTAAAAAAAATTATTTTCGTATAGCCGCGCGGAGTTACAGGGATCCTTTTTTATTTTAATCATAAATAGTATAGCCGCACGGCGATACTCTAGAATTTTTTTTAAAAGCGTAGCCATGAGGCTTTACTGGGGTCTTTTTTAAAATAAAATAAAAATAGTATAGCCGGACGGCTATACTCTTTACATAGAGATCTTTTTAAAAAAAATTGTTTTTCCCCAATATTTCTTTTTGGATAGTTTAGAGCATTATCCATTACTATTAGACTATTACTCGAGTCTCTATTGTCCCTTTTTGATTTTTTACTTTTCTAGAGTTATTATCCGTACAAAGAATTTAGTATTTTCACATTTAATACTCATATTGTACATGTATATATGTATTTTTCATGCTTAATACACTTAGTTTTTTACAAAACTTTCAATAATACACACAAAACTCACATATTATACACATAATTTTTGCATATTATTGAATAATAATAATATATATTTAAATATTTAAATCTATAAAGTGTATATATTGAAACTAGCAAGTTAATCTATATATATAAAGCAAAAGGCAGAGAATGGTGAAACATTCAAAATACCAGAAAATACCCTTGGTTAATGCAAACATTAAGAATTGAAATTATTAATTAAATGAGGATAATATGGTAAATTCATACTTTTTCATATTTTAAAAAATAAAAATAAAAATAAAAATCAGATAATGGATCCTATTTTTATGGAACACAACTACCCATTATCTTTTTTTAATTCTATAATAAATTTAAACTTTTTTATAAAAAAAACCCTCTCACAGGCACGAAAGTGCGTGCAGAGAGGCTAGTGTATTCTAAATTAAACTCAAACTTTAACGCACATAGGAGCTCAGGCCAACTAGTATATATAAAGTATAAACTAATGCAACTAGAAGTGTCTTTTTTATAATTTTTTTTTTAATAAAAAGTAGGATCCACTTGTTTTTTTTATAAATAGTATAGCCGCCCGGCTATACTCTAGATTTTTTTTTATAAAAAAAGTATATAGCCGCGCGGCTATACGGTTTTTGACACGTGGTCGCTAAATCGCTAGTTGGGCGCTAGGCGGGTCCTTTTTATGTTTTTGTTTTTTAATAAATAGTAGAGCCGGGCGGCTATACTAGGATTTTTTTTTACTGGGACTAAGCGCTAGCCGGGCGGCTATACTAGGGACTTTATGAAAAAAAAAGTGTATAGCCGCGCGGCGTTAATGGGGTCCTTTTTATTATTTTTTGATAAAGGCTATACTCTTTACATTGATACTATGACCTTTATTTTAAAATTGGTTTGCCGCGATTTTTGTTTATCGATAAGAGTAGTTTAGAGCATTATCCATTACTATTAGGCCATTACTTGAGTCTCTATTGTCTCCTTTTGAGTTTTTACTTTTCCAGAATTATTACCCATATAAAGAATTTAGCATTTTCACGTTTAATACTCGTATTGTACAGAAATCATCCATGTGTAGATACCTCTTATTGCCATTGTCTTAGAAGCACCTCCTTTCTGTTAAATGATGTCATTTCCAAGTCCTTACGAAACTGAGAGTTAGGGCTTCGTAACCTTATGTTCTCCATGTCGATTTTTGCTGCAAGATTTCCAATATACTTTGATGGTAATTGTATCAATTAGGGAAAGTCTTTTTTTTTTATTTTAAATTTTTATGTTGGGTCAATTAATTACCTCTTTCGTTTTCTGCATGGGACGGAATAATTCGAACTCAAAACCACGTCCATGGAAGTGAAGGTTTATAAAACGAAATCAATAGCAAAATGGTTCTTTATTTACACAAACATCACCATATTAAATCCTCAAAACTGAAAACACAGACAACTATAATACTTTCCTTAATGTTGGTTAACATAATTGGGTCAAGGATGTACCAATCGATGGTCTTTCTTATAATTGGGTAAACCATTTTACCTTTTACAGATGTGCCTGATTTTCAGAACCAAAATATTTAGGGCACAAGAGGATGAACAACGTTTCTATTGACCTCTCAACTTGAGTGGAAGTAAAAAAATTTGCTCCTAACTAATCAGAATGCTTTACAAGGATTCATGTCCTTTCACATATTCACCCTCGACAACTTTTGTACTTTAGTTCTTCAGATTTAACACATAACTAATACAATTTGAGAAAGCATTGCGTTATATAGAGAACACATTAAATACATACTATGATATTAATTTAGATCTATTACATTCTGTACGTGGTTCGATTTTATGTCATTAAGCAATTGCCTACATTGCCATTGTAACTGGGAAAAGCCTATCCAAGAAAGTATACACACCCCCTCCTAACAGAAGTGCACCACTGTTAAAACAACAAAATGAAACATGTTATTGAAAGCCATGTAGGAACCTGTCTTGTGGGGAACTTACATGTATTAAGAAGTTTCAAAGATTTGAAAAGGAGAAAGAAAGGGATTTAAGTATAACCTGATCGGGTTGATCCATGCCGAAAATTTGCGAAATGAAAGTAGGCTCTGCATATATATGGGTTTTGCTCAGCAAAAAGAAAAAGAAAAACTTTGAAGCGGAGTTCACTGTAATTAGAGTAATGCTACACTTACCACATATTTATCCCACATTTCTGTACCACGTGATGTGGCATGTCCATTATCCATATCATATGCCACATCAATTAAATCAATGAGGTATATTTTAATAAAGAAAAAAAAAAGGTGTTAATCACATTAATTAGTTGATGTGATATGTACATATCAGCTGCCACATCATGTGGTGTAAAATTGTGGTATAGAAATGTGGTAAGACTAGTATTATTCCTCTAATTAATCGCACAGACAGACACGAGTACACAAGTATGATTTAAAGTTGCCAGCACTGTTAAAGTATTGAAATCGTTTATTATGAGGACAGTCACAGGCAAGCAGATAACCACACAATAATAAAGAAATATGGTGGAAGCTTACACTTGCTGTTCTGTTCTAACAGAATAACTTACAACTAACTAAAAAGTGATAGATTACATACCTGCAATGCTCCAGCAAAAGAAGCAGCAAGGAGTAGAGGAGCAACATAACCAGTTGTGTACGTCAAAAGTAAGCTGCCTCCTATAACTGGATTCTGTAATAAAATTTGTTCTCATGCATTAAATATTATTCGATGCCTATGTAAACCAATTAGGGAAAGGGAAAACTTGAGCTGGAAAGAACACTCAGAGCATCAACTTTGATAAATGACTCCCAAAGCATCGATACACATGCAGTATGAGTAAATTCTCTGCTCTTTTTTTTTCCTCTACTGTTTTGAGTGTTTGCATGCTATGATACAACATGGATGATTCAAAAAAATTTATATATATGAAGTACTGGAGATGATTAACTGAGATCAATATGCAAGAAATAAAGGGAAGACACAGAGAGAGAGAGACAGAGACAGCAAGAGAGACAGAGAGAGACAGAGAGAGACAGAGCCATTACAACATCCACAAATGTCAAACTACAGCTTTTTCTGCCAGAAATCTGAAGAAAACTAAAAGCTCAAAATGAATTCAAGAATATCAAAATTTTGAGTTTACCTTCGATGTAGCTACATATCCTAGCAGAGTGGCCAACACTGGCGTACTGCATGGTGAGGCAGCTAAAGCAAATGTAAGCCCAGCTAGATATGCTTGCACACCTAGCATGTGAAAGTTTATCAAAGTTGAAACTCATAAGATCGAGACAACCAGCTTTTATCTAAACCACAAAAACTCAAAAAATTAGGGTGGGTAGTTACTTGATGGGAAATTAGCAGCAGCAGCCCGGGGATCAAAATTGTTAAAAAATGAGGGGAGCTGTAGTTCAATTACCTACAATTTCAACCCATAAGATGATAGCATAAAAATGAGGAATAACATTAAATCAGAAAGAACTAGTCAATCAAAGTCTTCTAAAAGGTTAAACTAAACAATCAGACTGCGGGGGCATATCTCACAGATACAAAATGGAAATGATAAACATTGAAAGGTGATAGATACTATCAAATAAAAGAAGCACATGCTGGGGAGAAAATGACGTTAGAACATAAATAAATACCTCGAGGAGATTCAAGCCCATAACAATAGCTAAACCTGAAGCAGCCAAAGGTAACCCCTGCCCAGTCTGTCCATATGCCTTTCCAGCAAATGAGGCTCCTATGCCTAAGAGTGCAAGTGTAGTTGCCAATCCTAATGAGAATGCAATTGAATTCCCAACAACCTGACCAAAAAAGGCACATTAACCTCATGCATGTGTCATTGAGAGAGAGAGAGAGAGAGAGAGAGAGAGAGAGAACCAATCATATAACTACACAAGTAGCTTACAAAAGCAATCAAAAGTTGCACGTAATGAAAAAAAATATAAGGAACCACATAATACTAAGATAACTAAGCATACAAGAAAAAACTAAAGCCTTGTTTAGATAAGTGACTAAACTGATGTTACTAACAGTCTGTTTCAAATATAATGAACATGGAAAAAGAACAAAAAAAAATGCACAAGCCAGTGAAAGTAGTTCCAAACTATTTTTCGGCATTTTGATATTTAAAATGCTAATACATTCAAAGCTTCAAAATATTTTTTACTATTAATAATCAAAGCGCCTAAACTAATGATTTAATTACTCCCATACTTCAGAGGTAAGTTTGACACATAAACAACACCTAGGACTTTACAGAAAAAAGACGAACAATTGAAATAAGAGAACTGGTTTAGCAAGTTATCACCTCTGCCTTGCTTTTCCCTGAGCCAAATGCTCCTGTATGATTTTAATCAATTCAAATCAGCATTACACATGATGTACACAAAAGAGTGAAAGTCATCACCCAAATACAACTCCCTTCGCCTATTTCTCCCCAAAGCCACAATATAAAAGATATCAATTTTTACCTATGTAACCTAGTGTCAGTGGTAGAACGCTAAGAGTACAAGGAGAAAGGCTGGTCACAAGCCCAGCCCCAAAAATAACTGCCAAACTGTTAAGATGAATAAGCAATGAGAAGCAGCGTATATTCCAAGATGCTGAATAATAAAAAATACAAATGTGAATGAAGACAAGAATATGGGACTGAACCTAGAGAAACTGAGGGCAGATAACTGGTCTTGAACAGCCTCATTAGCTTCTTGTCCAGCAGAAAATAGGAAACCTCCAAACCATTCTCCGGGGCCACCATCAGCCAAGGTATAAACTGAAACAGCACCTTCCTGACTCAGAAAAGAATTCTAGTTCCTGAGATTGTATATGAGAAGTATAATTTGGATACAGATTTTAAAAGTAGCTTGACCCATTTGCACAAAAAGTTAATTTTTGGACCCTAAATCTAAAGCATTATCATCAAGCAGCAGTACTACAAAAACTATAAGGACTAAATAGCATAATGGAATTGAATTTTGAAAAAATATTAATTACTGAAAAGGTAAGAAGCCATTAGCACTTAAACACAAAACAAATTCTCACCAAAATATTTCCCGTGCTTACAGCCTTTGCCATGTCTGCGAAGACCAAATTTGCCACTGAAACATAAAAAAATTAAAAATTATCATAGTTACAAGCAAGTTTATAGAGTTCATGTAATCACCCTAAATAAACTGAGAATCACAAGTTACAGAGAGAAACTGAGAGCTGTTAATGCAACTATGTACATGTATATTATCTAAATATGCAAGTGAATCATATTTAAATGGTATGATCAATTGCCGGAACCACAACTATACATGGAAGATTTCCTTACATTTTTCAAAACTAAATACGTCCACAATACAAAGGAATCGGAAAAGTTCCCCTTATATGTCTCAATCTTTGAAGTTACACCCATTCATTGTAGAATAGAGATATGAAAGTTTACTTCTTTGGGGAAAATAAAGAAAGAAAGAGGCAGTGGAAACAGAACGTACTGGTTTTTAAGCAAAAGACAAAGGCTGTTAGCCTGTTACCTGCCATGGAATTTACAACTGTCTTAAATGGAAAGCTGCTGCTTGTATCACTCTTGGCCAATGATACCAAATCTTGGCTAAGATCCTGAGGTGTAGAAGTAGAAGGCCCCTTTAGCATTCTGATGGGTACCATATATTTACCTTGAAGATAGAAATTTGAGAAACAATTGTGTTACAATATTATATATTAGTAACACCAACATGTATACCACTCTGATGAATCATAAGAGACAGTTCAATCTTCAGGCCAACATAAATATTTATATATAAAAAAAAACGAAAGAATCACAATTTACTCACCGTGACTACTTTTCTGGCCACCCTTGCAGCTTGAAATTGTGAAAGAATTAATTCCATAGCTGCCGCAATGGTTGATAGCCAAATTCATCTGCACAATTATCATGGAAAATCTCAAAAAATAGAACACAAAAGTGAAACATTGAATGATACGTTTGGCCCCTGGGAAAATCTTTTAGCTTTATTTTCACAAGTGAGTGGCTTGGAGCCGAGAAAACTACAAGGTTTACCTCAACTTTTTTGGATTTGCTTCACAGAGCAGCAGCGAAAGCAAGCAAGCGATGGCAGCGAGTGAGATAACGTCAATGGTGGATCATTGTTAACCAAGAAACGTCAGCGGTCAAAGGCATGCTTGTCGAAATATCAAAGGGGGATACGGGCTTTAGTGGGCTCTTGTCATCTCAAGGCCATGCATATGGGTTTATTGGGCTCGCAGCTGGCAGTAGAGCGGAAAGGCTATAATGAGGAGATTAGAGGATGAGCTTATTTGAGGGGTTCAATCTTCCACCATCAACAAATATAAGAAAATTAATTGACTTAAACATTTCAAATAATTTGAAGGTGGGATTGAACCCCTCAAATCAAATAAGCTACTCACTCTAACCTCCTTATTGTAGAAGCTCCCCGCAGTAGAGCAGACTATCAAACAAGGCCATGGGGGCAATGCAAGAGACAACTTGAGGCCCAATAATGGTTTTGATGTTCTGAATTTCCAACTTGGGATTTAGGACCCTTCCAAATTAGTTTTTGTTTTTTTTTTTTTCCTTCCTTTTTGCCAAATTCTCAGATTGGTCGACGACATCCCTTTTCGGCATGAGTTTACATCCAATATTAGAAGATGGTCAAGTTTGAATTTTCCCTATTCGGCATTTCCCGTGGATAAAAAATACATTGCCATTACTTTATGACCATGGATAAAATAATTTCCTTAATAATAGGAGATTCTTACACTGACATATGTAATTGTTAACAATATAAGGAAACAATGCCATGCAATCCTAAAAATATTTCATTCCAATCCTCAATAGACCTGATAAAATGTAATAGATAAGTAAAAGGAGAACAAAAGATGGGTTGCAGCTATAAGTCAATCTGGGCAATGTAGCATTACACGAAACCACTAGAATACAGTAACCCAGATTTCCTAATTTCCATTTCGTCAAAACACATACAGGCTATGTTTCTAAACCCATCTTCTGCTTTAGTTTATTTTTCTTCTTCTACTGGGATGGTTCATTTCTCCGAATGGCTATGGCACGAACCAGAAGCACTATTTGGACTTCAAGGGATTCCTTATGTAATTCTAACATTCCAAGAATAGCTTTAGAGGCAAACAAGCTTATGCATGACATGGTTGAAAATTTGCCAACCATTTTTCTGGGCAAACTCGTATCCTTGAATACGTATCTGACGCAGACAAGCTTAGCAAGTACACAATATACACCATGCATGTGGGCTTCTTTGGTCTTGCATCCTGTAAAAATGATATCATCTGCAGGTTCCTTTTGGTCTTACAGGACTAGAAATAAACTGCAGGTAAGCAAAAGAAGAAAAAATATATTTTGTTTTTATACAATTTTTAGCATTACAGTTACGTTAAGTACAGTACAGCCGATGAGCAGAAACAAACTTACTCAATCTCCAAACCGCAAAATGTCACACTGCTGCAAGCTTTTCTGAGGTAGAGATGGGTGTGAACTCAAAAAGCAGCAGACCGTTGCAGACAGCTTCAGCAATATGTTATACTAGAAAAGATTCCAGATACCAAGGGTCTTTTACATAGTTCCATCTTTAGAAGATAAGCAACCCTTGTAAGATAAGTTCATAGAAGCTGGTCTTCTATAACTGAAGTCAGAAACAAAATGTAAGAATCACCAGGATGAAAATGCCACGGGTGGAAAAAATCGCAAGAGTGATTCATTTTGATTCACTCCAGAAAGCCACAGTTTAAATTTTAAATATCAATTGAAATAAAAAGGGAAATAATCTGATCAGAGGATGAGAAAATTTGTTGAGAGGGCTATTTTCTGGAACCTTTAAAAGAATACTACGGCTATCTATGCTTAGAAAATTGTCAACAAAATATCATTGACAAATTTAATATCTACAGAGCAAATAAATAAAATAAATTTGTTTAAACAGTTGGTCTGCAACAAAAGGATAACCACAAAATCAGAGAATTATTTAGAGATTGAAAATAGAATCTGTCATAGCTTACTTTCAAAGCTAGATGAATTCTTGGTAACCAAGTGGATGCTCTATTAAGTATTAACTAAAGGGCTTATATAGGTCCATGCACAATTAGAAGTTATATATTTTTCCCGAGGCACCAACACATTTAGACATCCAAGAATGCTATCTTAACATTCAAGAACTTTTTGTTACAGTAACTTTTGATTAGAAAAGAAGCTATAACTCATCCTCCATACAACACTGGCAGGACTAGCTACTTCGGTAGCAGAAATGGATTTTTCTATACCTCCAAAAAAAGCTGCTCAATTTCTTATTCTTTTTTCAATTCCCTGCCTCACTGTAAACCCTTAATTTTTTTTTTCTAAGGAAACATTATATTAACGACAGAAAGAGTGCAAGCTCAAGTAGTCTACTATGGAGTTACAATCTCAAACTAACTACCAGAAATGAAACATATCAAATTCCAAGTACAATAACAGAAAAAGAAAGCTTCACGAAAGCTTCGCAATACCAAAATCTGAGTTAATACCAAAGATCCTCCACCTCCATCCCACCATTGTCTTAAAAAAGTCTCCTATTTCTCACTTTGGCCTTTTTCTTACCACCAAACTCTTCATGCTTTTCACACAAGGCATGACACCCCTTTGGGATTGCCCTGCTCACTTCAGCCTCCCTGAACAGTTTAAGGAACAGACTTAATGCAACTGTGTAGTGCAGAAACACATGATAAACCTTCTCCCCATCCTCTTCGATACACCAGTGAGGAGAAATGCATGCCCATGGTTGCTCACTTTTCCATGAGCGGCCTTCAGAGTAGCCTTGGCTTTCCAGATCATACTGTACAACTGAAAATCAAAGGTAGTGGCATTACTACATAAGTAAGTACGACTTACAAGAACAACTCCCTTCATCTTCCTTGCATCCAAATTATCAAAAGTACGACTTACAAGAACGACTCCCTTCATCTTCCTTGCATCCAAATTATCAAGTACCAACCTGAATCTTCAGTATAGCCTGCAATGAAGAAAGGTCCTCGTTCTCAAAATCATTTAAACTCAAACCAAAAGTGCAGCTGAGTGAATCAGATGAGAATTCCACTCATCTTGCTACTGTTTTCTTATTATAATATGATAAGTTAAACAGCAGGGAATTTTTCTTTCAAGGAAAATTCTTCCATCCAACTGTCATACCAAAATCTCACCCTAGCTCCATTACCCACAACCTGGTAGGAACAAATCATACCCTTGACAAAATGTCTTTCCAAGGACTCCAGCTAGAACCCCTCTGAGCTGGATTTCCATCCCGGCCATTCTCTTCAAACCCATATTTACTTCTTATGACAGCATGCCACAATGACTCCCCTACTAAAGGAAATGTCCAAAGGCACTTACCCAAAAGAGCGATGTTCTTCATCAACAAATTGCCAAAGTTTAAGCCCCATCTTTCCTTGCTCTGAGTCACCAATTCCCATTTCACTAGATGGCCTTTTTGCCCACCCTCTAAACCAGCCCAGGAAAAATTCATCATCTTTTCCAATTTAAGAGCTGCACCACTTGGTACTAAAAGGACAATAATAATTTGTACTACATAGCTTGAAGCATAGCTAAACCCCAAGCGTGAAAGAACCCCCTGAATCTCAATTGTTAGTCACTTTTCAAAGCTTCCAAAGTAACATTCTGATAATATTTAACTAAAATTGGAGAACAACACTTTTAGCCTGATGTCTTGCCATCCTAAAGAGTGGGGAGGAGTACCAGAACACTATCTTATGCCTACTCATGCACAGAGGCAATCAAAGAGCTAGAGGGCGTGAATGCCATCTTGTTTGTGAAAGCAATGATGTCGGAAACATAATTAAGTACTACTTACAAGGTAAGCTCCAGAGAGCGATGCATTCAATGTCTGGATAAGAGCTTATTGGATGTAGCAGGTCTTTCATGCATATGTAAAAACTAAGGAGATGGGTAACACAGAAGGGCAAGGATTAAGTTATCCAGCCATCAAAATTTAGAAAATATGCTTGACCATCAGCAGCAGGAGCAATCCTTTTGCATGACATCAATGATTCTAGCAAAAACATAGTTAAATTTACGCAATGCCAGCCATTAGTCTCCAACTTTCTGCTATTCAAACTCAAGTTGATGAAAGTTTAGTTTTCAAGAATTAAAAAACAAAGAAGCAAAAGCTGTGCTCTGTCATGCCTATTCACCCTTTTTATTTCCATCAAATTTCAGATTCTTTGCATTCAACATTTATGCTTTTGAATTTTCTGGTTTGCAGCTTACTTTGTATAGTCGGGACTTAAGCATAAGCTAATATCATTAACTCATTTTCTTCATAATTATTTTCTTTTTCAGAAACTAACTTAACAAATCTAAGAAAATCAGATCACGCATACGGATACATGCAAAAGAGAGAGGAAACTGACTCTATCAATGGTTGACAAAATTCAGTGTTTAAAGTGCTACAAGAGCAGCCAACAAATATCCAGTATAGAATTGTAAACCCTCTTTATACCACCATTGATGGATGGCTTGGTCAACTCAAAGAAATATTGCTGTAGAATGTGGAATCTTCAAATGATATGTTGGCCTGGTCATACAGCTTTTCACTTAGGCTTCCAAGAAAGGACAGGCAGCAAGGATTTTTCGGGTCTACAAGGAATTCTTTCTTTTTCTTTTCTTTTTTCTTTTGTTTTCAAAAAGGGGGCGGGGGGATGCGAAAACTCTATATGTATTTAAAAAAGGCACAGTATTAAAACTTAGTCACTCTATCTCATTCCAAGTTTACTGGATGTCCCTGAAGGGACACAATCGTCAATCTGTGATGAACGAGGAACCCCCATCAGAACGGAATGAGTTTGATCCAAGGTTTATATGCATGGATAGGCACAATCACCTAATATGTGGTATCAAAGTAGGCCCAACTCCTCTCAATATTGCACCAAGCGCCCACAAAATGATGTCCATGTAAATAATGGGACTCACAGGGGTAGGATGGAACAGGTAGTTAGGGGGTTTATATGTGGGGAAGAATGTCACAGACAACAGCCCCACGCTAGACAGGCAGAAATTCATTAGATCCTTTCCTATTACATGAGTTACTGGATGGATAATGAAGGCAAAGGGTAGGCATAGAGGGGAGGATTCAAAATTGGTACTCTTATGGCCACGCCGTTCGGTGAGTAATTTGAATATCTTCATTGGAATAAGCATATAATCCAGAGTAGGGTTATCAACTAATACAAGTTATTCATAATCCAGAATGGCCGCCACAGAAAGATTTCAAATGTATCATGGACCTCCAAATGGTAAAATGGAATACTCCAATATCTAAGAAGTTCATTTTTAGTGAGGACTTTAATCAGTCACCTAGTAGGCTGTGTACTTAGGTAAAACTTAACATGAAAAATTCAAGAATCTCTTTCTTAATGCGTTTTTTTATAACCAAAATTCCTCATACTCTATAGTAACCTAACTTGGAAATACTTGACTGTTGTGAAGCCAGTGTTGCTGGATTCTTTTTAACTATTCAAGAGTACGCTACAATTGGTAAAGTGTAATTTTAGTTTCTGAGATGTATTACAAGTTTTATTTAAATTGCTGTTTTTGGTAACCGCAGACTCTTCACAATGTTGGCAAGACAGGAAGCTATAATGCTATATTAAGGGATAATTTTCTAGTAATGATCTCACTAGCAACAGCTATACAAAATCTGAATGCTTGAAAACTGTTGGATCTTCAAATTTCAAACTTAATGAGCTTTTCAGTTCTTCAGCAAAACATGTATTATAGCAATTTCTTGTTAACTTAATCCATAAGGAAGATACAGACATGAAACCTCTTTGTTTTATAAAGAAAATGTATTTTCATCTCTTTAAGGCAAGGATTAAAATAAAAAAACATATCCATAGATCAATCAGATGAGCAAGACTTGTTCAGTTTGACCTAATTAACCAATTTTTGAACTGGGGTAGTTCTCAAATTCATCAGAAATATTTGTTACTGACCTAACCCTGACCACAGACATCCTCAGTAAAGGGTTACTCCATAACATCAAGGTTCTCGTACAAAGGACTTGATTTTCTTAGAGTAATGCATCCTTGTGCTTAAGAGCATTATGAAGCACACAAGTTCCCAATTTTCTTGCTTCTTTTTTTGTTTTGGTAAAGATTGCATTTGCATTGTTTAAGACAATATTTTATCCTGAAACAATCACAAGTATATATTGCTGGAACTCTTAGAGAAATCCTCTCTTTTCTGACCCTATCTTTTCAAATTACCCTTATCAGAAAAAAAATAAAATAAAATAAAAAAACAAAAACAAAAAACCCTACAGTATTGAAATATTGTTATGGGAACAATGAAGAAAATTACTTCTTTTTGGCTTTGTAAGCTCAGAGAGTTTGATAAGCCTAAGAGAGACAGAAGGAAGGTCTCTGACACTGACACACTAGGTTCTTGACTGAATGAGCATAAAGACCTTCAAGCATCCAACAAAGCACAAGGTTCACTTGGTCCTGGGAGAGGATAAGAACTTGTTTTAGAACATCAGTATAGTATCTGGAAAACAGATTTAAGATTTAAGGAAGATGGAATTTTCAATGAAAAACTAAAATCGCAAAATCAAATTATACATGGAAATTATAGAAACATATACTTTTGTAAGGAAAGGTGATTACTTGACAAGAAGCTGTTTACCTGGTCTCCCTTCAGCCTAGTAGTTTCCAAATTTTTTCCTGTCAGAAGAAAAGATATCACATGTTGCTATTCAATTAAGTTAAGTAGCTCCTGCTATAAAAACTAAGGATCTAAGAAGTATCATGGCAACATCAGTCACATCCATATGTTACATCAGTTTCTCAGAAGACGAAGATGAAGAGAAAAGTTTCAATCATTCAGAGTTGAAAATTCTTGCATTGGACATCATATGAAAACACTAAGACAGAAGATGAAGTATATAGCTTAGAAAATGTTTCTTATTTTAGAAGATATTAAAGCTGTATAGTCACATGAAAAGAATATTGTAGCATGCAGTACCTTAAGAGCTTGGATAGAAGCAATAGAAGCTGGCATCTTTTTTGTTCCAATAATCAGTTTTCCTTCTTGTTCTGTTCGATGAAACGTCACTGAAAAATGCACCATGTTGATCACAAAATTAGGACATCTTCGATGCATAGGATATATAGCTCATAAGTGAATATGTTTAAAACTCACACAAACTTTCAGGAAATCCCCTGTATAAAAATGAAAAAGTATTCAAGATAGTTAAATCATTGATGCCAATATAATTGTTTTTATTTATTTTATAATGGGATTGACGTCAAATCAGTTTCTCAGAAGACAAAGATGAAGAGAAAAGTTTCAATCATTCAGAGTTGAAAATTCTTGCAGTGGACATCATATGAAAACACTAAGACAGAAGATGAAGTATTAGCTTAGAAAATGTTTCTTATTTTAGAAGATATTAAAGCTATATAGTCACATGAAAAGAATATTGTAGCATGCAGTACCTTAAGAGCTTGGATAGAAGCAATAGAAGCTGGCATCTTTTTTGTTCCAATAATCAGTTTTCCTTCTTGTTCTGTTCGATGAAACGTCACTGAAAAATGCACCATGTTGATCACAAAATTAGGACATCTTCGATGCATAGGATATATAGCTCATAAGTGAATATGTTTAAAACTCACACAAACTTTCAGGAAATCCCCTGTATAAAAATGAAAAAGTATTCAAGATAGTTAAATCATTGATGCCAATATAATTGTTTTTATTTATTTTATAATGGGATTGACGTCAATATCATTGAGTACATAATTCATACATATGATATCAGTGGTAGAAAAAGTAATAAAAAGTCAAGGCATTTAGTTGAGTGTAGCTCTACTTCAAATCAGGATTTGAGGTTAGCTAAAAAGTAGGCACTATCAAACTCCTAAACAATGAAACTAAGAGAGAGAGAGAGAGAGAGAGAGAGAGAGAATCATCAACAACCCATAGAGAACAACTTGTCACAAAAAACAAAACAAACAAAAAAACTTAAATGAATTAAATAAAAGGATATCCAGACTTTGTTAACTGAGTTATATGATACCTGTGTCCCCAACTTGCCACTGATTTAAGATCATGTAATCCTTGAGCCCTTCTAATACATACATCTTTTTGCTGTTACTATTTTGCCAGCAACGATATTGAAATTTCCAGTCCCTGCCTGTGTAATCCTGAATTGCGATGGGGAATCCTTGTGTTTCAGAAATTTTTGGGAAATGGGCCTGTTTCATTGTGAGCAACACACAAAACTTCAAGCGTAAGGACAAAGATGTTTCCTGCTTGTTTAGATGAGTCAGAAATATATAATCTGAAGGAAAAAAAATACCTAGCTGATTCAGTAAACAAAAGACAAATGCATAAAGAATAGTTTTATTTTCCCTCCCTAAGATCCCTTCTCAGGTAAAGGTGACTGCTTTATTTTTTTGCCAGGAAGGATTTGGCTCTGCTACAAGAAGAATCAATAGTTTGACACAACTGTTCTACTTTAAAATCACAATTAGGTGTTTGTTGGTGTATGATTGTGTGTGTGTGAGAGAGAGAGAGAG